GCCTACCCACGTCCCGGCACAGTGCTTGTAACAAACTGGGTGATCAATAAATATGAGGTAGGTAAATGGGCACTTGGGGAATGTGAGGCCAAGGAGCTCGAACAGGGCCGGAGCTTCCGTCCTGCCGCCGCGGGCAGGTGTGGTTCCCTGGTGATGGAGGCGGTGGGGCAAGTCCTCCCTCGCTTTTCCACCTCCCGACCGGGGCGGGCTGCTGTCATAGGACGGCCGCCTGGGGCCTGAGCGGCCCTCCGATCGCAGGTGCAGGTCGTCAGTGTGAAGGCCGCGTTGGGGGCGCACGGAGAAACCCCAGCCGCAGCCATTTCCTGCTCTTTGTGTGACAGCGGCGGCGGCGAAGGGGCCGGGCGGCGGGGCGGAGGAGGAGCCGCGGGGCGGGGCGGCGGGCGGGGCCGAGCGCCGGGCTGGCGGCGCGGAGCCGGGCAGAGCATCCTGCGCCCCGGCGCGGGGCACTGCCGTAGCCTCGGGCCCCTCCCCTGGACCTGCCGCAGACCCAGGTAAGCGGCGCTCGCAGGCCGCGGCCCGGCACGGGGACCGCAATGCTGCTGGGGACGCGGATGCGGCCGTGAGGATGCGCGAGGGGCGAAGCTACTCTCCCCGGCCCCCAGCCCGCGGGGGACGCTCGGTGGCGCCCGGGCTAGCGCGGCCTGGAGGCCCCCGGAAGCCCCCAGAGGCCCGGCCTCCGGCTCCGGGCGGCCGCTGTTCCCCGCCGGCCCACTGAGGGCCCCGCGGCGCGGACAGGCGCGGGCACATCGCCGAGGTCGGGCGCCGTGGCAGCTGCAGCTGCAGCAGGTGCGCGGCCTGGGCCGGAGCCGCCGGCCGGAGAGGAGGCGGTGCTAATCTCGGGGACCGGAGACACCTGCGGCGGCTGCGAGCCCGGCGGCGGCGGCGACATCCCCGCGTCCAGGTACTGCAAAGCACAGGCCTCCTGCCTCTGTCGCCGCGGCCACCATCACCTCCCCCAGCGCCAGCAAAAGCCGAGAGGCGCCTGGGCCCGCCTGGCAGCCGTGACGGGCACACAGCGCCCTGCGGCGAACGTGAGATGGGTGGGGCGAGGGACGCAGCGGCGATGTTTGGGGGTGGAGGGCTTTGATGAGAGGGTTGGCACGTCTGACCCGCTTTGAAGCATTCTGGCCCACACTAGCAGCGCTCTCCCGGCTGGCTGGGGGCAGGGAGGAGGTGGGAGGAAGGGATGAGTGGGCTGACTCCTGGGGGAAAAGGTTGTGTTTTCTTGAGCTCTGAAGGACCAGGAAGATGCCTCCCTATCTGTTGTGGCTTCTGCTTTTCAGGACAGCCCTATCCTCCCGCGCCCAAGTACAGCCTGCCTAGGTCCAAAGGAAGAGTTGAAGGTGCTCTCTGTTTGGGGATGGGAGCAGGTAGCACAGTCCGGCAGAAGGATGGTTATCTCTACAAAGACTCTGGCTGGAAAGGACACTGACTGCCTAGGTGCCCTCCCCAGCCCAGGGAATCTGACTTTGACCTTTGCCTGTCTACTTTCCCCAGCACAGTGGAATCGCTCAGCAGGGGTTGATGAGCCATCAGCTGCCCTTCCAGCTAAGCCAGGAATGGAGCAAGGATCTTTTCCTGCTAGCTCCTGGGTGCTCTGCCCTCACAGTGTGGGCACAGAGACTGGGACAGTCCCGCAGGCACGATGGGCAAAACAGGAGAGCGTTGGTTCCCATGTTCTCATTTTCCACCTCCTGCCTGTGTCCCATTTAGGGCAGTGGGTGTCATCTTACTCTCGGGCTCTGGCTGTGCCAGCAGCCCTGGGGCTCTCAGCTCTTGGAGGTCCATATCCATGGGCAGGCGTGTGAAGGCCTTGCAGGTGGTTTTCTCCGCCATAAGACCCCCTCTCTGTGGCCCTCCCACCTCCACTTCCATTACAGGGCTCCGCCCTTCCCCCATTCTCCAGTGTCAACATTGTTTTCAGGAAAGCAGCTAGCGAATGTGTTTATCTTGAAGAGCAGCTAAAATACAAAATGGGAATACAACAGAATTTCCCACTTGATGCAGAGCAGGTGCTTTAGAAGTCACTTGAAAGCAAACGGGATGGAGGCATTTTAATGGGAAACAATAGAAATATTTGCTATCTCTAATGGTGGAATTTCAGATAGTGGGCTGGACGTGGGAATGGAGCACTGGGGAGCTCTTTTGGGGAACAGCTCCCTGAAATGACAATATCTAGCAGCTGACAGTTCCATATTTGGCAAGGACAGCTTTGGCCCTGAGGACAGGAATACTGTAGGCGTGTACACCTGTGTGTGTGTCCATGTCTGTGTATATAATGGTAAGGGGTTACTGTCACGAAAAGGGGCATTTGTTGAGCACCCAGTGTCCACTTGTGGAATGTGACACTTTTGCATAGAGTGTTACTTATTAGCACTGGCTACCATCTACCAGGGCAGTTATTAGGCCACAAGAAGTGTCGTGTTGTTGCTTACAAAGCCAGCGCCTCTAGCTAGTTCTGCACACTGAGCCTCTGGCTGGGGGCATTAGCTCCCTGCACACTAAGCTGCTTTATTATATTTCCTGGCTAGTTCCAACCGGTTCTGTAGGCACCCAAGGCTGCCTTGTTCAGTCCCGGCTGGAAAATGAAAAGGGAAAAACTCGCTTTAGGTGTTAGGCCAAGAGTGGGGTATACGATCCAGTAGGGTTGGATAGTTTGCCTCAAATCAGATCAGAGAGGAGGAGGCATGTATTTAAAAAATGGTAAAAGCCCCCAGGAGAACACTACATGTCCCTTCTGATAAATCGTACCTTCTCGGGTGTTCAGTGGGCCTCTGCTGCTGTCATTGACCAGAAAGCCAAATTGGGTGATGAATAGGCAACAAGCTAATTAACATTGGGAACAGTGCTCCTGGAACACAGTGCGGGGCTCCAGTCCCCACGTTTAGGGATCAGACTGCGCTCTCAAAGAGGCTTCTTTGGACCACTGTTGGCCCCAGGGGTCCACCAAGAGCTTCACAAAATGGGCTTTTGTAGCCTTCATGTGGCCACCATAACAATGAGTCTATTTCTTTACTGGCAAGTATTAATTATTCACTTGTAGTTGACGAATCCAGACATCAGTCACCTCATTGGAGTCTTTGTGAAAGGCCTTTGGTCTTGTCATTCTGAGGAGCTAAGCCATGTCTGGGGTCCAGAGGATGGCCCCTGCAGCAGTCGTGGAGGTGGTGGGAGGGGCTGGCTCATGCTACTGCCTCAAGAGACCAGCTGTGATGGGGGAGGGGGAGCTGGAACATCTTCAGAGGATCTTATTAAGGGAAAGATGCGTGAAGGTGCCAAGCAGAGTGCTTAGCACATAGTAAGTACTATTATATTTTTATTTATTGGTGTAATGTATTAATTACAGAAGCATTAAGAATTTGGCTCATGTGTGTAGCCAGCCCTTAGCTCTCACCGACCCCTCTCCCTCCAGAGCTTTCCTGGATTTTGTTTTGGGGAGGGGAGCTGGTCTCTGGGACCAATAAACTGAGCCCCAGGTTTGCCTGCCAAAGGAAGCGAAACGAAAGAATAATAAGACATGGTGTCAGAGTGGTTTCAGGTGGGAAGTGCTCTTGAGTAGCAGCTGCAGGTGGGTAGAACCTGAGTAGGCAGGGAGAAGGGGGCGGGAATAGGCCGAGCAAAAGCCCAGAGCAATCATCCTCGCATTTCAACACACAGAGCCGGGGGAGGACCTCTTCCTCTGCATAAACTCAGCATTTTGCAACCCACCAAAGATGTTGAGGGCATGCTTTGCTTCCAAGGCAGACAGAGCAGTGCAGTGGACTTAGGACACAGGATTTATCCCTGAGTTGCTCTGTGCCTTAAAACCAGCTGCAACCTCTCTGATTTTAAAAACTGAGCCACGGAAAACAGTCTGCTCAGCTTCTTACCTGCCTGTCGTCAGGGGAGCCCACGGATGAGATAATGTCTGTTAATCCCAGTCCGAGAAGAAAAGGCCATGGAAATAGAGGAGGCTCTTGAATGTGTGGCTCTTTTGGGTAAGTGGCCTCCATTCCTGAAGGAACAGTTTATTAATTATATATTGTGTGGCAATTTAAGAAGGGGAGTCTGTGGGCTCTCTGTACTGTCAAGCCAAAGGGAAACTGACAGGCACTCTGCGATTCACAGATTCTGCCAAGGCCCCTGGATGGCCTTGTCTGCACAAAGACACTTCAGAATTCAGTCAGTGGGTGTGGGACGCCTCCCAGGACGCAGTTTGGATATTGGCTTCCTAGCCATGGCCATTACGCTGAGCGCTGTGTGTGATCTGCCATACTTCTTGGACCTTGACAACAGGGGAGAAAACGAATTGGGTACAAATTCTTGAAAGAAGCTGTTTGGGGAAGGCAGAGCTGGAGTTCAGGCAGAGTTTCTCACAGAGATCATACCGGTTGAGTGGCATTTTGATAGACTTACAGCAACTCTGAAACAGCACGATGAGAGGGACGTAAACAGGACCTGCTGGCAAGACACCTGAGAGAGCCCCAGTAATGACCTCAGTAGGCCTTTTGACTGTGTGTTTACGTCACCGTTAGGTCCTTGTAGAGCAGTGGTTCTCAGACATTCACCTGTAGGTGGAACAGAGGGCTGTTTAGTATGTCCGTGTTATGTGGTCTGTGTTTTCTTAGTAAGGTGGGAGGTGAGGTCCTCTGCAGAGAGTGAGGGCGATGGGCTGGTTAGGAAACTTCAGGAGACTTCCAGGGTTAGGAACAGCTGCCTCTGTGGGTGGAATAAGAAATCAGCTGAGGGTGAATGAGAGAATTGTCTAACTTCACTAAGACCTGGCTGCAATCAAAGAGAATCTGCAGGCCTGAGCCTCGTAGAAGACACTCAGTAACTCAGTGTTAAGTGAAGGAACACCTGAGAACTATTTGTGCTTTTAAAATATGATGCTTGAGGGCCAATTTGGGGAGGTATGAATGGTGAGACAAGAATTCAAACTGGGGGGTCAGCCTCCGAGTCTGTTATATCTCCATACGGGAAAGAGAATTGAGGGCCTGCCTCTTAGGGTTTGAGGTGGAAACTGTATGGCAGAAGAATTTTCTAGAAAAGTCTCCTCAGATTCTTATAGTAATAAGGCTGACAGGTACGGGGCTCTAGGGAACTGTGATGTTTTAACTTCTTCCTCTTTTTTTTAAACCAGAATACATGTATTTTGGTCACTGGCTCATGCATTCAGTAAATCATTCCTGAAGTTTTAAGTAATGCCTGATATGTCCCCAGCTCTGCTGGTTGCTATGGGTCAAACCCAGAAAAGATGACTGTCCCTGGCATCCTTGGTGACTCAAAGAATTAGCAAAATGTAAGTTTATAATGCAGTAGTAAATTGTGAACTCTAGACCGAGTGCTATGGGAATTCAGAGAAATGAAAGTTATTGAGGGGTTTGGTGGGTCAGACCGTTGTGGAAGAGGCATATCTTGGCTTGGGCCTTGACAGATGGTTGGCAGGATTTGAGAAGAGACAAGACAGTCCGTAAGGGAGCAGAGATAGTTTGAGCAAAGGCGCAACGCA